CAGCGTGCTGAAAGCCTGTTGCAAGGAGCGCAGCGTGCTTGTTCTCATTGGGTTAGGGCACGGTCAGTCCTGTAGTGCTCTGCGTCGGGAAGGCAAATAAGTGAACATCAGTGCCAAACCCTTCTTGTGTAGGATAGTGTGATGATCTTTGTAGTCTAATTGATTTTGGAAGGAATAAAGAGGGGCTGGAGGCCATTTCAGGTGTAGTTGGTAGAATCTGGTCTTCAGTATTCTGTCTTCACACTCCTGTTGTTTCAAATGCCATTTTGCCACAGCTATTTTGTTCTAAAAGCACGCAGACCAAGAAGTCACGTACTGCCCTGTAATAGATGCTGGTATTCGGTGGATTACAGAAATAGACCGAGCAATTTGCCTCAGTCTTTTGGTACGGGTCCAATATTTCATGAACCAAGATTGATGGCAGAAAAGCATTTTTTGTAAAGGAATGAGCCCGGAGGGGAGCGTGGGCTGTGGGCGGTGGGGCTGTGGGGTCAGAGCTCCATGTGAGCGTTGCACTGATGCTAATAATCAATATTAGTGTTATAATAGCAGCGAGCATTTTGAATATACAGCCAGCCCGTGTCGGTGCCCATTGGCCATAGGGATGCTGGGGGACGTAGCCTGCCTGTTTAGCACAGGCAGCAGTGGGAGACCAGTGGGGAGGGACTGCTTCTCCCCTCGGTTTGTTCAGCTCAGAGCTGTGACTTTATTTTAGTGCAGATTTTAGGGTTTAATTTCCTTTGTATTTTGATGGTACTGTTTAAAAAAAAATATAAAAATTCTCCCCATGTAATAGCACATGCTCTGACATCGTAACGTCTCTTTACGAACTGTTTCTGTTTGCTGTGCATCCGTGTAAGTGGGAAAATCCTCTTTCACGTCAAAGAGATCTCTTCTTCCTGACGCTGTGCTGTATTCTGGGGCAAATGCCGTTGGAATGATTGGGACCGATACCTTCCCTTGGCTTTGTGTCCGGTTTGCGGTCTGTTTGAGATCAGATGCTGTGCCATTCCTGCTATATTGCACACGTTCCTGCGCAAACTTTGCTTAAAATCTATTAGATTTGTTTCGCATTGTCTGTACTTCACATACGGCACAAAGCAGGAATAGCTCATTACCATGATACTTCCATCACCATCGGGCGAGATTCTTTGTGATGTAAAACACGCTGTTCAGAACCTCTCGGCAATAAATGGGATATTTTGACTGTATATCCCACGGCAGGAAGCACGGTACTGTTGGAGAAATATGTGTACATAAGCGAGGTCACGCTGGAGCTGCGCCGTGTGAGTGCCGAGCGGGGATTGCGCCTGTACAGCCTGCCTCACCTGTCATTCGTTCCCCCCAAAAAATTTTAAACTTGTTCATTTTTTCCTTGGAAAGAACAAGTGTGTTCAGAACGCCTAAAAAAAAGTGGAAACTGCCTTTATGAGAGAGCAGTTGGTGCCTGGCTGTCGTGGTGCGGGGCTCCCCGCAGCTGCTCGGGGATGGGTTGGTCTCCGTTGGGGAGCACCTGAGACCCTGCGCTGCAAAAAGTGAGGAATTCTAGAAATGCCGTCGTGAGAAGGAAGGTGAGGAAAACTGCAGACCTGGGCAGACCTGATGCAGAACTTTGAACATTTGCTGCATTTTCTGAAAATGTCATTTTTTCAGATAGGTTTCCCATCTTTGGTCTAACCAGGAGCTAAACCCCCAACGCAGGGCAATGGAAAACCTGGGTTGCAATATTCTGGTTGAAACACTGAAAAAAAAAAAATTACGCCAAAAGTGAAATGAGCGTAAAGACTGAATGGAAGTCGTTTATAGAAACAGCCTCACTTCCCCTTCCTCTGCAGGTGGAAGGAGTCCGTGCTGCCCCCGGTGCTGCCCAGCCCTGGGGCATGGAGCCGAGGGGGAGGCGATGGCTGCGTTTGTGCTTTGGAAGTTGCTTAAATTTTCTACTTAATTTGATTAATTTTTCAAAGTGCACCATGGAAAGGCGAGTGGCTTCGCTATTGATGGATTGGCAATCCTAGGACGCTTTCATTTTTATTTTTATTTTTTTTTTGCGGTTCAACAAAAATGCGAGCGCAGTATTTACGGAGGCATGGGTTTAGTTCCGGGGAGATAAGCGTTGTTGTTTTCTGAAGTACTCACAGAGCACAGCCTTGAGATGCAGCGTTTGTCAGAAGACAGGAGCTGCCTGGAGTTCTTCCTTTGTCTCTCCGTTGATTGGCACACATTGTGCCAATTAATGCAATATATAGATACGCGGCCGCACGCGCCGAGGTGCCACCTCCGGCCGTATCGAAGACTCTTTCCCTGCTTTACCCAAAGAATAACAGCTCCCCAAAGTTGTTGACCGCCTTTGTAGGTCAGCTCCTGCCATGGCTGCGCTCCCTCGTCCTGCTGACCCGCACACATAAGGACGGGCGCTTTGTTGCGGAGCGCTGCTGGCGGGCGGCGCGATGTTCAGCGTTGGGTGCTGTGGGTAGAGAGAATTAATGGGAAATCTGGCCAGATTTGTTGTGTGCATTTCAGACTCCCCTTTTTATTTTTCTAATTTTTTTTTTTTTCCTCCCCCACCTCCTCCCTTTTCCTGGCTCTCAACAAATACCACAAACGGGTACTTTCGGGTTGTAAAATATGGACGGCGGTGCTCCATGCGGTAAAAGACTCGAACGATTAATGCTACCCTTATGCCTCCTTTGAGTAGTTTTAGCCATGGGGCTTGGCACTGCCACCATTGTCTTTGTGCCAAAAAATATCCGCAGCGGCTGCCGCATTCTAGTACTAGAGGGTTGTCTCGAAAATTCCGCAGTGAATGCGTCGGGTGTCTACATGGCTGTAGACGCTCTCTCCTTTTTAAAACGTTAAAAAAAAGGGGGGAGAGAGAACCCTGAGCCCTTGCAGACCCCGGGAAATGCGCAGCGCGGGTCCGAGGGGCTGAGGATGGCACAGAACGCACAGGAAATGCAGAAATTCGGGAGAAGCTTTTGTATCTGCCAGCACAAATAGTTGCGTGCGGAGCCCACTCTTGCATATTATCAGCACTCTTGCAAATTTTATTATCTGAAACAAATGTGCCAGTGAATTTTAAGCAGAAAATCAACATCAAGACTGTAGCTAATTTTAAACGGACAGTTTATACAAAAGATATTTTTCTCTCCCCCCCTTACCCCCCCCCACCCTCAAATGAAATGTAACGCCGCTACAAAAAGTATGATAATTTCATAATTACAGTTGATAGTGAAAATCTACGGATGTGGATCTTTTTTAACAGTTTCTTGACTTTTCCGTGGATTTCGGTTATTTGTTCCTAATGGAGAGGGCAGATTGCTGGCCGTACACGGGAACAACAGCGACAGCGGCGGAGATGCGATAAAGTTAAAGGCTGACACTGGCAGAACGAAACACGTTCTCTCGTGGTCTCCAGAGCCCTCTGTTTGGTGGTAAAAGTGGATGCTGGAGATGAAATCTTTACAAGGAGCATAATCCTAAAAAAAAAAAAAGTCAATCTCCTGCTGGCTGCTGTGCCGCTTTGGTACCTCGCAGACTTCGACAGAGTCCTGGACGAGTGCCCATTGATGTCATGGAAACACTCAAATTACTGAGAATGATTCATGTCTATGCTGTTCTCTTATCCTCCCCCACACAAATAGAAGTAGATTTTAACCCTGACAACTTGTAATTTGCAGCGGGTTTATTTTTGTATCCGGATAAATATTTTTTAACAACTGAAATTAAGACGAGGCTGCCGGTGTCTGCGCTGCGGGTGCTGGGCTGCCGTGGCCCTCGGGTTGCGCCCGGCACACAGCCCTGCCCCACTGCCACCGCTTATGGGGCAGCGCCCGCAGCGCGACTCTTGCGCCGGGAGCGTTGGGCCGCTCGCGTCTCCTTCTTGTTCCCGTCCTGAGTTATTTCTGCGGAGGCTTTTGGTGCTCGGAGCCCAGGGGCCGTGTGGTGGGCGACGCGTGGTGGGCGACGCGTGGTTTCCCCGCAGCCAGGCACGAGGGCTTCCGAAAGTTGTGATGTGTGCAGACGTCCCCTGCATTGCCGATGCGTTCAGGGGGTTCCTGTGCTGGAGGGAGGAAACGGCAAAGACAATAACGAGCGGGCGGCCAAAGGAAGCGGCGCGGTCTGGTGTTGTGGTGGGGGAAGATGTGCTCGATTCCCCCGCTGTGCAGGGCTGGGAGTGCTGCTGGGGCACGGGGACGGAGGGGACAGCCCTGCCCCGCTGCAGCTCCGTGCTCTGCCGCAGCCCCGGTGCTCGCGGTGGTGCTGGCCGTTCCGCCTCCCCCCGTGGTTGCCCGCACCGTAAGGGTGGTCTGTTGGTGTCAATATGTTTTGTATCAGCCCTCTTGACTGCTCTTTGTCTCCCTAGCACGTGGTGTAGTGCTACTCAGCCATGACTTAATGCTCTGCAGAAACCACCTCTTTCCTCCTTGGTTTTGCTCGAGTCTGCCCATTCAAACCTGAAAGAACCTTTATTTTCCTTTGTAAATACAGCGTGGCCGTAACCAGTGCTGCGAGGCAGGCTGCTGGAGCTGCGTGCTGAGGGCAGCCTGGAGCAAAACCCAGCATGAGCGCTGGTCTGTGGGGCTGGCGATGCACAGCAGCAGCGATGGGCCCTCTTGGAGCCGTCCCTGTCCCAGTGTCACTCCCAGTGGGAACTGAATCACAGAATCACAGAATTGCCAGGGTTGCCCCAGCATGAGGCGCAGTGCAGCCGTGGGGATGGGTGCTGCCCAGAGAGCTGTGCTGGGCCGGCCGAGTCCTTCTGCATCCCATCCTGGGGCGGTGCAGCTGGGGTGGGGAAGTTCATTTCGCATCACCATCCTCAGCAGGAAAAGGCGTCGATGCTTTGCTGCTGCCTGTGTGCGTTGCACAGCCAGCAGCGCCTATTTTACTTGTGTAAACAGTGCTGGGAAATGTGGGGAACGTCCTATAAAGCACTTGGAGAAGCTGTACGTGCACATCTGGTCACGCTGGTCACGCATCTCCTTCTTCTCTCCCAACAGGTAAAACAGAAAGGGGATCATACTCATCGTACGGAAGAGACTCGAATTTGCAGGGTTGCCACCAGGTAAGCGGATCCTGCTCGGCGAGGCGTGGTGATGAGCGCTGTGAGAAGAAGGGCCTGCAGCTTCGCACTGCGCCCCTGGCAGCGGGGCTGGAGGTGTGGGCGCTGCCTGCTGTGCTGCAGTGCGGCCGCTGGGGCTGCCTGCTCTGACCCAGCGCCGCTCCGAGCGGCCGCAGGCTGCTGGTTGTGGCCCTGCGCTGATGGAGCCCGGACTCCCTTCCGTGCAGCCCAACCTCGGCAGCGACAAAAGTGGGAGCGCGGGGCAGGGCTGGTGTCAGCCCCCAGCTCTGGGTGGCTACCTCCGTAAATTATAGTTTTCGTAGGATCTGTACGACGTTGTGTGAAAACAAGGTTGTACCGAAGGGATAAAAATGTCTGTGGAAATATGATTTGTTGTCCCTTTTTGTTTCTGAATTGTTTTTGGCTGGAAGTCAAGGCCAGCAGGCTAACAGCAAAGCCGTCTCAAGGGAAGCGTGCGTGAGCTAGAGAAATAAGAGTAGTTTAATTAAATAATAAAGTGCCAGTGCAACACAAAGGTGCAGCGCGTGTGCGTGCGCCGCTGCGCGCTCTGCATTTGCATACTTTTAAGTCTCCAGAGAAAGTCTGAGTCTAAAAATACTATCGATAGCCAAAAGTCTGTCCTTTGTTTCGAGACAATTGATTTCTTTAAAAGACGCTTTCTTTTTAATTTCAGTTGCAGTATTAATCGTGCGTTCACATTCATTTTGTTCGTGGAGAATGCTGGGCTTCCTTTTTCTGAGTGCAGCAGCCTCTTACTTTGGAAAAGTATTGAAAGAATTTAATAGCCTTCTTAACATTCAAAGCTTTATGCCGTTTGAATCTGCCAGGACAAAAATAACGAACCACAAAGACAGCCAAAATGCATATTATTTCCCTATAGGAAAGGGAAGTGCTTGATCCCTTCATCCCGTGTGCATTGGTAATGTGGGGCTGTCGTCTTCTGGCGTATTTTGGAAGCAGCCCTCGTGTAGCACAGAGAAATGGAGGGATTGGAGCCTGTGCGGATTTCCCCATCCTGAATGTGGCTGGGATGGGCAGGCAGGAACGCTGCTTCGCCCTGCTTGCAGCAAAGTGACGGGAGGGGCATGGAGCTGCGTGGTGGTGAAGCTGGAGGTGTTCAAGGCCAGGTTGGATGGGGCCCTGGGCAGCCCCGGCTGGTATGAAATGTGGAGGTTGGTGGCCCTGCATGTGGCAGGGGGTTGGAGATTCATCATCCTTGATGTCCCTTCCAACCCGGGCCGTTCTGTGCTTCTGTGAAGGTCTGCTTGGCGTGGAAGCAAGGCAGTGTGCTGAATGTCCGTGGGGCGCTGCCTTATCCTGGCTCAGAGCAGCGGCTTCGGTTCTCAGCTGGGCTCCTGCACTGGGAGCCGCTCTGTGCTGTTCGGTTTCCGTGTTGCATGGAGGGCCCTAATGTGGCTGGCATTGCAGGCTGCTCCTGTGCTCCTGTATCCATGAGTATCTGCAGGAGTTGGTTTGATCGTAGAATCATGGAATGGATCTTGGGGCTGGAAGGGACCCCCGCATCATCGAGTTCCACCCCCTGCCACAGGCAGGGCTGCCAGCCTCCAGGAGATGCGTATTTCCCTGAGTTTGGCAGTGAGCAGGGACCGATCGGAACAGAGGGCAGCGTGGCTGCTGAGGGCTGAGGATGCCGTTTGGCAGTGCTGGCCGATCTCAGAATCCTTAGCTTCTGCTCGTGGCCTTCCCTCTGTGTGCAGTGAGGGTGAGCTTGTTGCACACAGAGCAGGTGTGGAAGGATCTTCCAGCCCCGAGATCCATTCCATGATTCTGTGATTGAACCAAATCCAGCAGATGCTCATGGATACACAGGTGTGGAAGGGCACGCAGTTCCTGGGCTCTGATGTGACCTCGTGTGGCACTGCCTGCAGTGCTGGGAGGGGCACAGCAGTGGTGGGAGCTCGCAGTGCTGGGCACGGGGTTGGGCAGTGAAGGGCTCTGGGCTGTGGATGGGGCAGAACTCGGTGCTGGTAAGGCCGTGCACCACCACTTGTGTGCGGTTGGTGAAGAGCTGATGGAGAAATGCCATTGCCCAGTGTACTTTCTGCTCTTTTTTTCTGGTTTCATGCATGAAAATGTGAGGCATGTTAGGTATGTACTTCAAAAAACTACAAATATAACAAAACCTGCAGACCATGCAAGGCCTTTCTTTCTGCCGTCTGTATCCACTCTCTTGAAGTGTAATGGAAGAGGAAATGAAGCATATGACCAGTGCCCGGACGAGAAGGAGAAGAATGCTGCTGAAATAAGAATCTCTTGAATTCCTGAAAGGTACAGAAGGAGTAACTGGAGTGCCGAGGGCCATCTATTGTCTGCTCTCCAGCTGCGCCACGGTCAGAACCTACCGCATTGCTAACAAGTAGGAACCTTCCGGCGTGGAAGGAAACCCAAAGCTACGATTCTGCTGCAAGATTTCTGGATGTGCTGAGAGATGGGCTTCCCTGGGCAGAAGACATTGAGAAAGACGTGGTGATTTCCAAGGAAAATGGTGTTGGTGGTACTGCAGATTGCTGAGAGCACCCCGAGCTCAGTGCAGCCGCAGCTCCGCACGCTCCTCCCCAGACCCAGGAGGAGTGTGCAGATTTTGTTGATTCCTGAAAGGTAAATTGCTACCTCCAGATGTGATGCATTGCTCTCTGTAGATGAATTCCTGGAACAATTAAGGAAAACTAAATACTTAACGATATTGAACTTGCTACCTATTAATCTTCTGGTAGGAAAAAGCCAACAACCCCTCTTCGTGCAAACAGCAGTGATGCTCTGAGCTTTCCTTTCTGTGCGCTGCTCACGCTGGGGAGAGGAGAGGTTGGATGTGCAGCAGCCGTTCCCTCAGGATGGCTTTTATTCCCGAGCCAGGGCCCCAGTTCTGCTCTTAGAGAGGATCACGGCAAGTACAGCGCTCATGGCAGTGGGAATGGAGGAAGGCGCATCGTGGGAGCTGTTTAATTCTGTCGGAGAGAAGTCAGCTGAGGAACGTGCACCAAATTGTTGTCGAGGCACTTCTGAAATACTGACTTCAGTGAAGTTAATGACAAAAACCTCATTGTGTTCTGTGAAGTCAGGATTTTACGTGTTGTCTTAATTCTCTTCTACTCTCCGTTCCCCCAGAGACCAGGGTTTTTTTTCTGGCTGTGCTGGTTCGGGGGTATTAGCAGTGTTTGAGAAAGTGCACCTCCTTCACTTGTCCCACTTCAGCCAGCTTTCCTGCCCTCCTCTGTGCTGTTGGTTGACACTGCAGTGTAGGTCACAGAACCACAGGATCATGAAGGTTGGAAAAGGACCCCTGGGATCCCCAACCCCAGCCCACCTCACTGTGCCCCCTGTATCCCCACGTGCCACATCCCCACGGCCCTGGAACACCTCCAGGGATGGGGCCTCCACCACTCCCTGAGCAGCTGTGCCGCTGCAGCACCGCTCTTTGGAGAAGGAATTGTTCCTCATAGCCATCCTGGCCCTCTCCTGACACAACTGAAGGCAATTAATTACCTGTTGTCCCATCGTTGTTATTTTGGGGAGGATGCCAGCCCCGATCTGGCTGCAGCCTCCTTCCAGGCAGCTGTCGGGAGTGATGCGGTCTCCCCTGACCCTCCTCCTCTCCTGACCCCGCGTGGGGGTCTGCACGTGGCAGCTATGGGCAGTGCTTCAATTTCTTTCTCACAGAGCCTCGGGCAGCACCGTGCTGAAGCTAGGCAGGTGGGGCAGCAGGGATCTGCTCATCCTTAATGGCAGTGGGAGTGGCTGTGGGTAACTCTGAGCTGCCACACTTTGCTGGGCAGGAGGAAGCTCAAAGTAAGCAGTAAACATCACTGTACAATGAGCTTGATGGACAGAAAACATGCACCAGGACTTCCAACAGATTGTACATGGGAATAGATTGGGGAGCTGTTGGACGATTTGGGTTATGTCCTTTTGGGAAGTGAGGGCTGAAAGATAGCCTGGCTTTCAAGGTGCTTTAGCTTCTAGCAGAGTCCCCAGATCCTGAGCTATGGTTGTTTTTACTATTAAGACTTCTCAGAAGTGAACCTGGGTGTTGTTTTTGGATGTGACGTGCAAGAAATACTGTCGGCGGTGCTTGGAACCAACCCAGCGCTGAAGGCTGGAGCTGGGATGAAGTGCGAAGGTAAAAATGAGTGGAGTTATGCAAGCTTCGCCGGCTTTCCTTCTTTTCTTTTCTTTTTTTTTTTAAATATCTGCTACCAAAATATAATGATCTCCATCCTGAATGAGATCATATCTGCTCGCCTTCAGCCCGACTCGAGGCGCTGCTGCAGGAAGGGCTGACGAAGGAAATGGCAGACACAGCATTTAACCCCTGCAGCAAAACGGCTCAGTCTGTGCCATCCTTCCCGCGGCCCTTCCCCACCCTCATCCCCCCCGCTGCCCCACCTTCCCCTCCTCTCCCGCCTCTGGAGCAGGTGGGGGCAGAAGGACGTGAGCGATGGGGCCCTGAAGTGCTCAGACCGCGCACAGTGGCACACAGAGGGCTTCCATCCCTGAGCATCGAGGGTGGCTCTGCATTTCAGTTTGTGACTGTCTGCCGCTCGCTGAGGAAGATGAAGGGCGCCTGCAGCCTACGGTTTTGGCTGAGATTTCGTATGGGCACGGCAGAAATGTTGCTGGAGAACTTTGGAATGGGCATAACGGACATGAAGAGAGACACAGGGCGGCTCCTGGGCAGAGGCGTGTGGATGAATGGAGCCCAGCTGCCTGCTGGTGTGCCCCGTGAGTGTGCAAACCCGTGCATGATAGCACATTCATGCCGGGAGGAGAATGGGCAGAAATAGCCACCGCCCGTTCTCTTCTTCCTCCCAGAAGTCCTGGGACTTCCTGTTTCTGCTGTGAATTACCGAACTGTTGCAACACCTCTGATTGTATGAAGAGAAGTCAGGCAAGGAGACAAAGGGGAAAAAGCGAGGGGAATCACCTGACATCTGCGCCCTTCTGAAAGGTCCTTCCAGTGCTTC